CCCCTTGTTTTTGTTTTTTAAGTTTATTTATTTTAAAAGATTTGTTTGAGAGAGAGAATGAGCAGGGGAAGGTGCAGAGGGAGAGGGAGCAGAGGGAGAGAAGCAGACTCCTTGCTGAGGGTGGAGTCAACATGGGGCTCAATCTCACACCCCTGAGACCATGACCTGAGCTAAAATCAAGAGTTGGATGCTTAACCTACTGAGCTTATTATTTTTTTAAATGCTCTCTACATGTGAGGCTCGAACTCATGACCCTGAGATCAGGAGTCATATGCTCTTCCACCTGAGCCAGCCAGGCAACCCAGACTTGCTTTATCTTTTGTTTGATTTTTAAACAGAAAAAGTGTGTCTGCAGAATAAATTCATCACCTTGCTCAAGTTTACTGAATATTTTTGACAAGGTATGCTAAAAGGCGGCAAAATTTTCAGAAGAAGCACCAGTGTCAGGGAGATCAACTTGTGTAACCCCAGGAGTTTTTGCCCAAACACTCCAATTAAAGATCCTGTCCCAGGTTATGTATCTAATTATTAAGTCTATAAAAGTCAATTCCTGAATATACAAAAATTACAAATCCTACTTTAAGAAAGCTTCAAACTTACTTCTTTACTAAGTCTTAAGATAGGTTTGACTTTAATTGCGGGGGGGGGGGGGGGTGCAGCCGGGCGGCCCGGGGGGGGGGCGGGGGGGGGGGGGGGGGGGGGGGCGGAAAAAAAAAAAAAGATAGGTTTGACTTTAAGCTAATATTGAGTGATATTTGAGTATATATGAGGTTCCCTCTCTGTAGGCCACATACACATAATTTCCATTTCAGTGAACACTTGTCAAATGGTGTGGGGTGATGTTTAGTATGTAGACTCTAGAATTTGATAGATCTAGATTGGAATCCTTGTTTTCCTACCAATCAGTTGTATAACTTTTGGCACCTTCTCTAAACCATTTATTCTTCCTCTTTAAAGTAGGACTGGGATGCCTGGCTGGCTTATTTGGCAGAGCATGCAACTTTATTATTTTTTTTAAACATAACCTCAAGATTTTGTCATCTTCATAATAAAATATGAAGCTTAGAACTGGATCACTTGCCCCTTTCTTTTATCTCCTCCCAGTTCAAAATGCTTGCATCTCTTAATGGTCAGCATTCTTAGATCTGCAGTTGGGCTCAAAATATTCAAGCCTCAGTACAATCTTCTTTGTAGTTTTAGTCTTTTTCTGAAAAATTGGCTTAGTCTGCCCACCATAGCCACTCTGCTTCCTGTTATATAACGCTGCTTTCCCTAGGCATAATCTTTGCCTTTCTTGTTGTCACTTTGTGGGGTTGGTGCTTGCCATACTTCTTGCAGAAAAGTCGGCAGGTTTTGGGAACATTCACCATATTTGCAAGCATGCTATTGGCACAGAAAGCAGAGCATGCAACTCTTGATCTTGCGATCATGAGTTCAAGTCCTACGTTGGGTGTAGAATTTACTTAAAAAATAAATAAGTAAAAATAAAAATAAAAGTTGGATACAGTATCTGTCTCACTGGACTGTTTGAGTTCAATGAGATAACTGTATCCAATAGTTTTCATTATGTATTAGTTATTATGATCGTGAGTAGACTACATGTTGGTTACTATGCTAAATGTTGGGGATAAAAGATGTATGACACCCCACCTGCCCTCAAGGTGCTCACGATCTAGAGGGGTTAAATATAAGGAAAATTAAATAATCTTAATATTGTACTATAGTAAACATATGTGCAAAGGAATGGAAGCTTGAAATAGAATGGCATGTTGGAGATAAATGTTAAAGGCTGTGACATGCTCAGATATGAAATTTAGGTAGTTTGTCTCCTGTGTAGAGGATGAGCTGAAGGGAGTGACTCATAAGACCAATGGGGAGGATATGATAATCCAGGCAAACTTATATGGCAGAGCAATTTAAAGGTTGAACTGGAGGATAGCAGTGTAGAATGGAGCCTTGCTGTGCCTAGAACCATGAACTCCTTTCTGCCATGACTTGGGAGATGACACACTTGAATCATCTTTTGTCTTCATGTTAACCATTTAAGGGGTTCTAAGGAACCCTATCTGACCATTTTTCAGACTTATTTTACAGAAGAGGAAACAGGTTCAGAGAGCAAGGCCATCATTGCATTATTACAGGGGCACTATTCACACTGTGTTCTATAAAAATGGTGTTCCCTGGAACACAACAAATATGAATGACAGCCTCTGAAGTTGTGTACTGTAGCAGCCTGGTTGCAAAGGTTGCAGCATGGTACGTAATGGAACTGATGTCTATCTAAAAACCTGTGTATTTCCTACTATACCATACTATGTCTAATCATGATGTCATTTATGGATACATAGCATAATTGGGTTAAACACTGACTTACAACAAAGAAACAAATCAAACACAGCCCAATATGGGTCTTCACAGGAACCTGGTATGCATACTAAATTAGTGGAATCCCATAAATACTAATTAACAACAAATCAAAGTGCTTTATGTATTCTTTTTTTTTAAAAGATTTTATTTATTTGTCAGAGAGAGAGAGAGAGCGCACAAGCAGGGGGAGTGGCAGGCAGAGGGAGAAGCAGGCTCCCCACTGAGGAAGGAACCCGACATGGGATTCGATCCTAGGACCGTGGGATCACGACCTGAGCCAAAGGCAGACACTTAATCCACTGAGCCACCCAGGCGTCCCATTTCTTAAACCATTAGTTAATAGGAAAAGTAGGGTAAAACAAGGATAGGGTCCCAACTATTTACTTGGGGCTTCCCTAAGACAGATAAATGAGGAACTTCACATGAATGGAAAGGACTAATCACAAAAACTAAGACCATGAATCAATTTTGTACAGACATTTCTTGAATTATCCCCAAATTTTAAGGTAAATTTTCCCAGCAAATGCTTATTCTATAGTTATCTTGGCAAAAAATACATGATCCTCTTAGAAAGAATACATTTAGTTATTATGTCATATATTAAAAAGCTGTATAATTAATATTTATGCCAAGAACACTATTTACAAAAGTTTCATCCATAATTATCCATGCCTGCTCACTCTGAAGGCAGGAACATTTCTTTGGATTGAATCAAGATCTCAAGATGCCTTTTCCAGGAAAGGGGAAGGTATGAAAATACAAAACAAAAAAGAATACTGGCCCGGCTTATTGCACCCAAAGGAGGCCAGCCATTAAGAGTAGTCTGGGTGAGTAGTTAAAATGTGATCAAAAAGGAAAAAGAGGAAACAGTATACACATACAAAAAAGCTTTATGGGTCTTGATAAAAACACACATTTCTGAAAATATATAAAATCAGTTCCTTGAGAATTTTCAGAAATGAGATTCATCGAATTACAGGAGCAGGAAAAATGTTAAGATTTAGAAACATCGCACTTGTCTGATGATGAACTTCAGAGCAGTTAGGTGACCTGGCCAGGTCGCATGGTTAACGCCAAGCCTAGACCAGGACCCAAGTTTCCTATTTCCAGATGAGTGCTTTTTTTCAGTTGCTATACTATCTCTTACATGTTCTTAATCACTTGGAAGTCTCCATAACTCTCTGTCCCACAATGCACACATTGGGGACAGAGGAAAAGAAATCTGGACTATGTAGACCATTTAGAGCTATTAACCTAACAATGGATGAAACATTATTTCAAATAATGACTGGGCTGAAATTCCTCTGGGGCTGGGGAGTAGAGAGGAAATATAAAAGAAGGAAATTCTGTAGACAATAATAAGAGAAGCACAAGAGGAAATATTATCCTCTTTTGTTATTTTATTACTGTTACTTTATTTTGTAGTTAGGTCCATATATTATATAAAACAGAACAGGAAAAATGAACAAATTTATAAAATAAATTGAAGTGTCTGGATGAAAAAAATACAAGAGCTTTGCCTTCTTGTCTATCGATATCTTGATATGTTGTTGGTCTTGCACTTTAGATATCAAATAAAGATATCTAGCTTGAAACAAAAGTAGATATGCTGCAAGGTTAAGCCATAGTTAGTTTGCTGGTGGGCCAGGAAATGATAGATTTTCTAAATCTTATCCTTAAATACTGGCTATAACAAATGCTGATATAGCAAAATGCAAGCTTTTATCATCAGACAGCAAGAGGGAAACTTGAATTAATAAATGCAACTTACCTCCAAGTCCTCTGAAAGGAGGTGAAAAAAATAAATACTGTATTTTACCAGTGTTCCCCAAAAGCATTACTCTAAGCATGCAGGAGGATGCTGTGAGCAGCTACAACAGTGAGGTCCAATCCAGAGGTAGGTTCAAGACCAAGAGTTAGGAGAGTGGTTGACAAAATCCTCCTGGGGCCAGTACCATTTCACAGAATGACCATTTGTGCTGGGGAATGAGTCTATGGCCTATCTTTTTCTGATTCAAAAGGACATTCCTAATTTTAACCTTGCTGAGTGTAACAGGCATTTTTGCACCAGCTATTAAGAACAGCTAGTATAGAGGATAAGGCTGGCATAAAATTATTTAGCAAGCACATGCTAGCTATTCCAGTTTGAAATCTACCAAACTATAAAATCAGGGAGGAAGTAAAAAGTTGAAGATGGAGCTGTTGTTCCTCAGGATGAGGGAAAAATGTCTGACCAAAAGAGGGATTAGGCACTCACTTAACTCTATATGGAGAACATCCTTCTCAGGCTAGGTAGAAGATGAGGAAGAGCATTATCAAAGGCTGACCAGGCCACTGGGAGACCAAAAGGAGAGGGAAAAGGGATTTAGGAAGAAAGCTAGAAGAAAATCTTCTGGGTCTGACTAGGTAAGTGAATCTAAGGCAATGTACCAAAGATATGCTATCCACTATACCAACATGGAGCTGGTAACAAAATATCTGAAGACATTTTAAACCCAGAAAAATGTATAAAAAATATGTTAACAAAGCAAATTAAAACCAAACTTCCAAGGGTAAAATCTCAGATCTGAAATCCAAGGTACTTACTTTTCTAATTCTGTGCATTATTAGAAAAAAATAAAAAGTAACAAATGTAAAGATTTGTTTTATTTTCTACTGGGGGAAGGAAGATAAATAGAACTGTTTTCCAATTTGCTCTCCACTGTATACACACATACTCACACGCATACATACACATACACACACACCAAAAATACCCTAACAAAAAAACAAAACAGAAAACTGAGAATCAAACACCAAAACACCCTCAAACTGCACCAATACTTCGTATTTTGACCAAAAGAATAGATCCTGGGAGGAAGTGCAAAATGCAAAATCAAATGACCAAAAAATGCTGAACAAACAGCATTATCAATATACAAAATATTTATATTACTGAACTAGTAACAGTTGATGTTCTCCATGTCTGTAAAACTTTGGAACCACATAGCTGATTTGTTAAATCTAGTCCATGCCAGCTTCCAAACTCCAGAAAAAATTTTAGTTAGCTTCATTCTTTGATGCCTCATCAAAATTTTCTACAAGATCTGGGGGAAAAAAAAAGTAAATGAGTTAAAGATACAAAAGAAGAAAAAGAGGTAAATGAAATTCCTAACTTCTAACCCTAATAAAAACCAAATTGTGGCTATTAAAATTAGCCTGAAAACATAGAGAAGAAGAAGAAGAAATGAACTGGTGGTATTTCACTAATAATGCTTCATTTATCTGCTTTTAAAACACTAATCCTAAGGAAATATTAGTCTTTTTTTGTCTGAGCAAACTCAGATGAACAGCATTTTTGTATGTCAATCACAATTCCCATGGAAATCATGTAACAATTACTATGCAAATTTAAAATAACTGTGATTCTAATATAACAAATGCAGGCAGCAGAGCTTTTGTGACAATTTCTGATTCTAAGTTCTAAATGGGAAGACTTTTATTCTTTTTCATTAGATTGTATCCATACTATTGTGAATCAGTTTAAATTCACAAGTTCACCATCAACAAAAACTGAAAGTCATTAGAAAATGAATTAAATGAGATAAACAGGCTGCTAAAAATCTTAGTGCTAAAGAAATGTCACTTACCTGGAACGTCATCATCCTCTTCATCAATGTCTTCTGGTTTTGGTGCTTTGCTATCCAACACTACAAAACATTTTAGAATTAGTTCTTAAGAACAAAGGCCTTTAATAGAACACTTGTCTTGTTTATTCTTTTCTCCTGTCTAAATCTTATAATAGTTGTTCAGAAAAAGCTAAAAAGATTGTCTGACATACCATATTTTTTACTTAACACTAAAATCAGTAACATTTTAACTTCATTAGGTATATACTAAATACAGCTGGCAGTTTCAATGGGCAGTGAGGGTAAAATTTATTTGGAAAATGAAATAATTCTGATGGCTGGAATAAAAAGATACTACAGTTAATTTATTTTATAAATTCCATATGCTTAAAATAAAAAAAACAATATTCAAGACTTTCCATCTCTTCTGATATAAGGAAGTATCCAGCCGTATAGTATGGGCACTGATAGAAAAGGCTCTTGGATTTTGAGGGGTGACAAGACGTTTGAAACCAGGGCTATTGTGGAAATTCTGAACTTATAGTTGCCGTGCCTGTAGTCCAATCAACAATATTAAACAAAAATACAGTTCTCTCATAACAGTATCTTCTTCTTGTAATTAGTCAGAAGTGACTATCAGGGGCGCCTGGGTGGGTCAGACCTTGGGCATCTGCCTTTGGCTCAGGTCATGATCTCAGAGTCCTGGGATCAAGGCCGCATTGGGCTCTCTGCTCAGCAGGAAGCCTGCTTCTCCCTCTTCCACTCCCCCTGCTTGTGTTCCCTATCTTGCTGTGTCTCTGTCAAATAATAAATAAAATCTTAAAAAAAAAAAAAAAGTGAATATCAAATGCTGTCTGTAAAATGTGGTCTACAGATCTTTTAGGTAATTACCTCAACTCTATTACCAAAATGTATCCATATATTCTATAAGCTACACTGCACAATTATTAAAGAAACAAATTCAAAGATTTATGAAGCATATGAGCAACATTCTGTATGTAAAAGTAAAATTTACATACAAATAAATCCTTCCAGTATAAAATGGACCTTTTAACTCATTAGGTTCTTTAGATTACAGTGAAGGAAGGATACTGAACGGAAATACCTACCTTGCCGTGGGAACTGTTCAGCTAACTTCCTAAGACTTGTTAAGCTGTCAGCACCAAGCTGACTTAATATTCCAGGAAGCATTTCTGTGATTGGTTTGGCTTCTGCATGACCAGTAATTGCAAAGGTGTTAGCAGAAAGGGAAGCTTGGACTTTGGGATTGTTGAAATGAATAACTGTCCCATCATCTTTAATCATGTTCACCTGTATGATCATAGAAGAAAAATGTACTTCACATATCTGGTACAACTAAAATAATATCTGTTTAAATAACAACTTAGCCAATTATGGTGGTTTTGTTTTTGTTTTTAAAAACAATCCCAAGGTAGTAATTGTCTAAGCAGTAGATAATGGGTGGAAAAAGACCCTAGCAGCAACAAAGTAAAATGGTGTAGATGGCACAAATTACTAGGATGGTCAAGAAACATTTTATTATAGAATCTAGATTTTAAATTCAAAGACTTTTGCTATTATGAGAAAGAAGTTCATGCCATATTTAAAAAATAATGGAATTATCAACTAAGAATTGGCTTCTTAATAAAATTACCCATTGTCTTACCCGATTTACACCACTGAACTAAATTGGTACATTTGGTGGGTGGGACAGCATCCTTCTTAGGTGACACGTTGTAAAGGGTAATAGTGTACAGTAAAAAATAATCACTGAAAATCCGTAAAGAACACTCAGAAATTTAACCAGATGTTTCATTCCTCTGAACACTTAGTAAATTTACAAAAATTTCAGTTTGTTCTCCTCATGTCATTCTTTATAAAAGATTTTGTCAGTTCCTCTAACTCTTACATATAGCTTTTCAACAACCTTCAATAAGCCTTGTAAATGTCAAAGAGGCTCTCCAACCCACTTGCCTGGCCACCTGAACATGCTTCATCAATCACTGGGAAACCTTTAAAATCATCCTCACATTCTTTTGGTAGCTTTCACCACATGAATTGACTGTTTCAGATTCAATTTTATCCACTGCCTGAAAAGGAAGGTTAAACATGTGCTATTTAAAAGATTATTTTTCTCTCTCACTCATGCACTTTCTTATTATGTTTTAGTAAAGCTGAATTTGCTAAGTTAAATGTTTGAATAATGTGATTCCACTAGTAGTTGATTCCACTGTGTAAGTTACCTTGATGGTAACATGCTTATTATAGAAAAAGGTTAGGAGAGTTAACTCTTGGCTACTTTAGAAGCATTTCATGATCCATCCAAAAACTCCCTTTGTCAAAATCAAGCAGAGATGCTGTGTTCTCCATGGTCAGTGGAAGTGGGTGATCATCACCACTGATAGCACCAGAAAGGAAGGGGAACAAAGGGCTTCTAAATTTCAGGCAACACCTGGAACACAGAGAAAGAAGGCAAATCCTCTGGAAAAAAATTGTAACTAAGATCTACAAATAATTTCCTAGGTTTCTCTGACAAAAATCACTATCTGAATTCTATACCGTTCCCTCTATTCGTATTTTAATTAAGGTTCTATTATACATATTACACACAGTAAGCATTCAATCCAGCCGTTCAGAACAAATACCATTGTGAGTTAAAAACAATTTATACTGACTTTAGAGAAAGAGAAATTATATAGTTCTGAAGATAATTATAGTTTAGGTAGAAAAGTTTAACAGTAAAGTGGCTGAAAATTTGGAAGAGGAAGGACTTGAGAAGGAGGTAGCATAGTGGATATGGAATGGAATGTTCTGCATCTATCCTAGCATGGGAAAAGAATAAAGATATGGTAGGACTCTATATTCTAAATTAAGACCAAATCTCTATAATACATCTAGGAATGAAAAGAGTCTGAAATATTAGAATCTGAGATATTTATTATTTATAAATGTTAAAATCACAAGAGATTTGAAATCAATATTGGTCCAAAAGTCAGGTCATGTATTTATTGAAAGAGGTTTTCTAGTTCAAATCCCTTTTAGAGAAATAAATACTAAAGACAAAAGCTCTTGTTTAAGCAACATATCCAAGGACAAATAGCTAGTTACATGCAAACCTAGAACTTGAGTGTGGGTCCCCGAATTTCTGTTTAGTTTCCTTCCTCATTCTTAAAAATGTTTATTTCCCTACAAAAATTCAATTCTGTGACCTCGTGAAAGCTTGCCAGAGAATTATTTATCTCAAAATACAGGCTAAATGGAGAATGCAAAAAAAAAGCAACACAGATATATACATAATATATATCTTACTGGCTACAAAACAAGCAAGAAGCCCTAGCCCCCAAATCGTGAATTTTCCTGTGTTTAAGCTTCTTTACCAAAGGCTAAATGTTAGGTCCTATTTTACAACCTGATAAAGGTCTTTGTAGTTTAAATTGAGTTTAGTGTGAAAAGCAGGATGAATTCCATCTAAGGCTGTGAAATAGAAATAAATTTAAATATGGTGTTTTAAATAGGGTTGCACAAAAGTTGTAGCTCTGTGAATAAAAAGGTCCAAAAAGGGGTGGAGAGTTTAGTTAATTTTAGAATTGAGAATTAAGTTTTAGAAGTTAAAGGCTAGAATATTTTATTTCTACCATTCCTTCCTCTCTACTGAGCAAATAACATGGTTATATAAGGCTCCTAGATGCAAGCTATTAGACTATCAAAGGATGAATTGTTGGGTTGAGCAAGATCAGTTAGACACTTCCTCCACCAAAGGAAGGGATAAGGAACTTGTTAAATTCACAAAGCAAACTGTACGCATTTCATATGAAGACTTCACTTTTTCTAGTGATTTTACTGCTGTGTGGTCCACATAAGTGGTACAATCTACATATGTATAAAAATAAGGAGCACACAAGGAAACAAAGACCATTAAACTAGCTACTATACCAGCTCAGGTCCTTTCCCAATCAAATAACCCTATTATATCAAAATGTTTTTTCCACTTTAACAGGTAGCTGAAGGTAAAGGATGCTACTTGAGCAATGGAGTAAGTAGAATTTTTGAGACCCTCGTGCACACCACCAGATAATACTGACATGTTTTGTAGTTATCAAAAATATTGTCTCACATGCCTAGTACATTTACATATGCTGTTGTCACTGTTTAGAAGAATCCTTTTCTGCTTTTCCACGTTGCAAATTCCCGTTTATCCAAGACTTGGATCAGATGCTTCTTTCTCTGTAAAAATTTAGGATTGTTTGTGCACTTCCTGCACCTCATGGGTATTGCAAATATATGGAATTATCTTGTAGTGTAATTGGGTTTCCAAGTCTTTGACTTTATTAGAAGGTGAACACCTTCTGATCAGAGACCATGCCTTACTAGACATAGTATGCCCCCAAGTGTCCAGTACTTAACAGTCACTCAAATGTGCCAAATGAATGGGACACCTCAAATACAATTTATTTTAAAATCTTGGATGCTGTCAGACTTCAACTCTCCAAATGCTAAAGGATCATCTCAAATTTAGAAATAGCTCCAGTAGTTCTCTTAATGAAGATGCTCAGAACATCCTGAGCTGTATCTTAGCCTTGACTTTTCTTATTGTTCAGACTTTTCAGAATCAGCCTGAATGCCCTACAGCATTCAGGAGCATTTTAAGTCATTCTTGACAACTGCTGGGTGGCCCCATTATGCTGTTATCAAAACCAGCAAAGGCTGACCTCTAAGGAGGTCACATATATTATCACAGCAACCTTCTATCTGGTAAATCTGATGTGTGCTTTAATCCTATACAGCAATACGTTTTTATGGCTCTAGGAGGCTCACAAATTTACCACTGACTCTACAGCTCTTGCTGATAACTGCCCTCTCAGTTCACAGAGGAAGTTTAAATTCTTCCATGTGATTTTTTTGGTATCTAAGTCCCCACTAGGAGAACTGACAGTTGTCTTAAAAATCAAGTTTTACTGCTACTCCTTCCTTTATGTAGTGGCATTTATTTATCTACTTATTTTTAAAAGACTGCATTTTTAAATAATCTCCACACCCAACATGGGGCTTGAACTCACAACCCCGAGGATCAAGAGTTGTATGCTCTACCAACTGAACCAGCTAGCTGCCCCTGTAATGGCATTTAAATGTTTATCAGGAAAGTCACCTTTTATTGCCTTACTCCTGTATCTTAATGGGGTGAAATAATAGACATTTTAAGAAAAAAGGACATCGTGTCTGCGGTTTTGTGAGGCTAAGGGGGGTAAAAGTTTGAAAATTATGCCCTTGGTGCATACTTCCATAAGTATCTTTCACAATCAGTCCTTTTAAGCTCAGCACCTGCTTATTTCTAAAGGCTCGTATGAACATAATCTATTATTGTTGATATGAGCTAAAGCTAACAGCTGTAATTAAACTACGATATGCTGGGATCATTTTCTCTTATGCTCTGGAGGCAAGAGTCTGATGAGATGGATTCTTCACAGCTATGTTATAGATAGTATAAAATGGCACAACTATTTGAAAAGAAATTTGACAACATGAAGAATTCTAAAAAGTTCATGCTCGTTCAGCCAATAACTGTATTTCCAAGAATCTCTCTGAAGGAAATCAGAGATAAAGATACATATTATGGGGGCGCCTGGGTGGCTCGGTGGGTTAAGCCGCTGCCTTCGGCTCAGGTCATGATCCCAGGTCCTGGGTTCAAGCCCCACATCGGGCTTTCTGCTCAGCAGGGAGCCTGCTTCCTCCTCTCTCTCTGCCTGCCTCTCTGCCTACTTGTGATTTCTCTCTGTCAAATAAATAAATAAAATCTTAAAAAAAAAAAAAAAAAGATACATATTATGTATATTGAAACCAAACATGTGATTCTTTTATTATCAAAGCATCATAATGTATTATAAATTAAGAAATGTTAAATTATGGTTATCCATTGGAATATATGCAGACATCTACACTGTTGATTAAGAAGAAGTTATTTATTTTTTTTTTTTAAAGATTTATGTAGTTATTTTAGAGACCGAGAGCGAGAGAACATGAGCAGGAGGGGCAGAGGAAGAGGGAGAGAGAATCCAAAACAGACTTCATGCTGAGTCTGAAGCCCCACATGGGGCTTGATCTCATGACACCGATATCATGGCCTGAGACAAAACCGAGAGTTGGATGTTTAACTGACTGTACCACCCAGGTGCTCCAAGAAGAGTTTTTTAATGATATGAAACAATTTTCATAATATAATGTTATTTGGGGAAAAAAAATTCCAAATTGTGCATCTAGCTACAGTCTCAAACATGTTAAAAGTACATGCATCTAAAGATAGGAAAGAAATACAA